GCCGTCGGCCGCTCCGGGGCTTGCGCTGGTGGGTGAGCTATGGGAGGGAGAAGAAAGCACAGGAAAGCACGTGTTAAGCCCCGGCGCCCGCTTTGTGTTAGGACTATAGATCCGTGACAGTAAACTCTACTACCGTTACCCCAAAATAGCTGTTTAATGCACTGGCCTGAAGGTCCGGAGCCGGCTCGGGGCAGGCACCTGCCCTGAGAGCAGCAGCAGGCAGCGGTGGGTGAGGAGACCGGCTGCGCTTCTGTAATTATTGCCATACGTCTGCTGGAGCCCCAAGGAGAGCCATGGCTCGCCTTAAACAAGAATATCTTAGCCTGCAACTGTTTTCGACTAAATCCTAGAAAACCTGCTCCTGGCTGCAAAAGGGCTACGTGCAGATTGCTAAAATGGTCTGTCCTGCCGGGATCGGCAGCTGCGGAGCGGGAACAGGTTAAAAGCATACTGTGTTTTAAAATGCTTGCTCACTTTATTCCACCTGAGCCATGTTTTCAGAACCTCTGAGACCCCCTTATAATGTTGCTGTCGACTTCCTGGTAATTTTTTGGAGCAAGACAACAGTGAACCCAAAGGGTTCGCTTACATCATCCAAACTGACCTTGTAGAGTGCAATTACAAAGGAAGCTCCCTTATTTCGGTCTTAACAAAAATGATCAACAGCAAACCACTCACTATGTTGTACAAGAGAAATTAAGCATAAATTCACTGGTGTATTTCTGAGATCAGTCTTGTCCCTGCCAGCAAGGTCCCTCAAGGACTATGCTGAGCCTTTTAGTCTTCGTTCACCAGATGAGCAAACCCTGCTTTTAACCACTAGGAACCAGGAATTAGTGCTCATCTGTTTAACAGCAACCTAAATGTATTGTTGAGGTCTGTTCTCCAGGGATTCAGAAGCCTCTTGCTTGACTTGTGTCAAAAAGTGTGACAGAGCTCCAGGTCCATTTCAACAATGTTGTTTTCTTTGACCTCCCAGTTACTTGGCTGCTTTAGGCATAACGTACACACAACTCTACTTCAAGTAGGTACAAACCAGCAGCTGACTCTACATTCGCTTACTTACACAATTCAATAGTAGGGCTGGCTGGAAAATTCCCATGTCACAAATAATTTCAAGGTTTCCTAATCTGGTTTAGTTCTGCATCACTGCAAAATTGGAACCTTTGAAGATTTTTCTGAGCGCAACCTACTTACCCATTTCACAATAGCCCCTATTCTGGTGGCTGGGGCATTCACCTGGGATACGAAGAACACAGAATCTAGTCAGTGTGTGCTGCCTGTTCTCTGCAGAGAACAGCTCTGGGTAGCTGCCTGTTCTCTTTGCCTCTCCTTTGCCTTCTCACTGCAGTCTGAGCCAGGACAGCTTCCTGGCTGAAGTCTGGTTGAACTACATCTACTCTTGTCAAAAAGTTTTGATTTCAAAAAATCAACTTTCTTTTGGGCAAGAAGTATTTCACTGGAAAATTTCTGATCTGCTCTGTCTGTGGTTTTCTTACAAACTCATCTGCAGGATACTTTTCCATGCAGCACCAAAAGTAACTGCTCAAGCTATTATAACTAAACAACAATACTAGAACAACTCAAATCACAATTTTCTATTTCTATAGCTAACAACAGCACCCATTAGTAGAGATCAAAAAGATCAGGAGTGCCATTTGTCATGCTCAGTATAGCAGCTGAGCTGTCTTGGGGCCAAGAGGGAATTTCATCCCCCTTTGTAAACACAATGGCTTGTGACATATAATGCCAAGGGATACTCAACCTGATGGGCCAGTGACAGTCAGATTAGCATCTCCATTTTTCACACAGGATCATCTTCACAGTTACTCCCTAATTCTACAGCATCTCTTGTCATTAATGTTGCTCATAGTAAATCAATCAAACTATCATTAACTAGTCTTGAATTTGCAGTGATTTTATCATGTAGGATGAGGATGGGCCTAAAAGTCGTTACTATGGACCTCTTCAAGACTGTCATTACTATTATTTAACATTTTTCCCTCCCTGGAACACATATTGGAAAGTGTAATTCATTTCCAGAGAGCCAGACAGGGCACCACTGGTTATCCTGATGTGGTTTCCTCCTTCTGATTTTTCCTGTTTGGAACCTGCGTAATGAGCCACCTCTGCTGCCAGAAATCTAATCTTCTGGGCTGGTTAAGCTTACAAGGTCAAGGTTTTAAACTACTGCTTGTAGAGAGGCATGGCTATTCCTAAATCTAGAATAAAAGCACTACAGTGGAATTTCACTGCATGTACCTGGATGCAGAAGACTGACTTGATAATCACATTAGGCAGGTACATTACTTTTTCATACAGTCCTCTGTTTCCAGACATGAAGGAAACTGAAAGCACGAGAAACAGCAAAATAAATGGACTGAGAAAAATCAACTGTGAGCAGGGCTCTCACGTTTTATTCTGTAATTTCATCTGCTTACTGTCGCAATGTATGCCTTTGCTCTGGTATCTCTGGATCTGGACTGTGCTGCATCAAACATGCTATTAATTAGCAATGCTCACTGAAGGCTATTTTTGTTCTACACCACTCGTATTTCATTTTGGGTGTACTTCTACACTAGTGGCCTTGTGCAAAATTGATTTGTTACTCATGTATATTGCAAGCCAACAGAAATGTGATTTGAATATTGTGTCAGCTTGCTTCTCTTGGAAAGCTTTTCAGGAAGTGGGTCTCCACTGCTCTGTCCCACTGGACTAAAGAGAGCTTTTCTGAAGGGCTGCTACCCACAGGATACCAGTCTGGACATCCATTATGGAGAGAAATACTGGTAATCCTTAAAATTTTCCTTTATCCACCCTCATGAAGGTTTATTTAATTAAAAAAAAATCTCATGAACACTGCTGGAATGGCTTGGGAACTCCCCCACTTACGAGGTTTCAGAGCAGCTCTGTGGTCTGCAGCTTCCCCAGCCTGCTGACTCCTTGGCAGATTAAGACGTCAGAGTGACCTGGAGGAGCAGCATTAAATCTAGGAAGCCGCTGGAGCTGTTACCCAGCAGCACCATGGAGGGAAGGTCTGGGGTATTCCAGGTACATGGGGTAAAATAACCCTTCACCTCAGCCCCAGGGGAATACATCCTTCCAGCGGCAAGGGGACAGGAGGCACCAGGAGCTGCCTAAATAGGTCCTGCAGGCCAAGGATGGACTGGGCTGCCAGAGACGGGCGCACGGCACTCCTGCAGCTCTGGTAGCAGACATACGGCACAGAGGCAGACCCAGCACTACTCTCCCGCAGGTACTCTGCTACACTTCATGCACCTTGTCCTGAGAGCGGACATTTCTGCCCTTGCACCCTGTGAGCAGAAAGGCTTTTGGAAGTGTGTAAGCCTGAGGGGGAAGCAGCAGCCCTCCAAACTACTTAAAAAGAGGATAATTAGACTATTCTCCAGTTTGACACGGATGCCAGGCAAAGACCCGCCACTGCGTGTTGAGCAGAGCAGACTGTTCGAGATTCAGATTCACGCATATTTGACTACACTTTTTTCCGTTGGCTCGGACTGGGAAGGAGGTGAGATTAGGTGGTCACAACGGTCCCTTCTGGCTTCCAAAGTTATGAATCTATGACTTACACTGCAGTATATTTCTCCTTCGTATCTGCTCTGTTTCGTTTCTCAGGCCTCAGTTTTCAACAGTCACAATCCTTAGCGATCTGTCTTTGTAAACACAATGGCTCGTGTTGCCATAAAATGTCAGAAACAAAATGTTTTAATTTTGCTGTAAAGTTCCACTACAGGATTTCCTTTTACTTTATTCAACATGAGAGCTGTTTAGCATCAGGGAAAGGGGCATACACTGTGCTCTAGAAAATTGTGCTTCACATCAAAAAGGAAACCTAGAAAGAATAGAGGCCCCCTGGTGCGAGAGGCTCTTATTCGCATTTCAGGAAGGTGGCGGTGTTTTTCAGATCTCTTGCTTTATCACTAACACTGGGTCCCGTTCTGCCGAATAAATACCTTTCATCTCCGCAGCCCAACGAAATGCTTCTTAATTTTAAGTCACATATTACTTGCTCTGTGATAAGAGCAGGTTTTATTCTGCCAGCAAGCCAACTGGACTCAGACCTGTTAATCTCCTTAGTATGCAGGGTGCTTGCTTTCGCTCAGATAAGTTGTATAAATATTTGTAAACACTATAATCTATTTCAGCTGCAGCAACAGAACAATCTGACAAACACAACGTGGTTCCCAGAGATCAATAGAAGCCCATAAATATTACAAGCAAATAAAACTTATTCCCTTCCACATTGACTGAGCTGTGACTAAAACGAGAGACTGGCAGAAGCAAGCTAGGGGGCCTGGCAGATTCCAGAGGCTTGCGCTCCAGGGATACCACATCAATCCCCCGACCGTCGGCCGAGCGGCATCAGCAGGCATTCGTACGTACCCATCTGCATCGCGTTGCGTGTCTGGCCGGCTGGCTGTTGAGCCGAATACCTCAAGCAGTTACTCAGCTGCGGCGAGGCTGCCTGGAGCTGGGGATGAGTCGGAGGCGCAGTGATAGGAACAACCGGCCTGACAGCCGTGGCGGCGTTCGTGTGACTTGCCCCTCCAGGGTGGATGGCTCCTGGGGCCGCTTTCGTTGCCTGAGCTCCCCCGGCTCCGCTGTTGCGGGGCTGCCCGGCTCCCACAGGCACTCTGAGCAGACGAAGCAGAGCGTGAGCGTGCTGGAGAGACTCACCCACCATAGCGATAAACACCCTGAGTTACTTAAGGGCCTCAGCATGATGCCAACTTGGTATTAAAATAAGCTGAGCTATCTGTATTATTTTTTCCCTTACAGGACACAGGCATAAGTATGCTCGAGGACATTTGCACCCTTTCATCTTACGGGAAGAAGTGCAAGGTAAAAATGGAAAGATCATCTCTTCAACCACTTTTTTTCTTAAGTTACATTTCTGTCTGAATAGTTTCTGGTAAAATCCAAATCTGAATTCAGAGGAAATGATATCTCCCAAATGCCATTTTGTGTGCCAAAGGCTATTTTACAGGCAGTAATGGACTAACACATAAATCAGACTCAAAGATCTTTTCTTAAGACCAAACCTTCATACAACCCTACAGTGGGGAAAAAAGATGCAGAGCACCAAATCTCTGTGTGTCTGTTGCAGGGGACCGAAAAGCAGTAAACTTGGCAGCACTTGGTCGAGTGCTTACTCTAGTTATTCAACCAGTTCTAGGTTACATTTGCTAAGGAAACGCAAAAGGGAAGGGAACTCAGCTGACCTTCCTGGAAAGGAAATTCCAACAGTAAACAACCCCTCTTTCACTGCTCATTTGAACTCTATGTAGTTTTTCTCTCATTTTTGTGACTGGGAAGACCTCAGAGGGAAGGAAGGAGGCTGCTTCTCCTATGCAGCGAGTTCAGCATGACACTATTCCTCTGACGAGCAGGTCTCGTTCCTTTTACCGCTGAGTAAAAACTCTCTGACCAGGGAAACAGGGCAGTAACACACAGGTTTGGCTGCTGTTGAGCAGCCCTTTTGCTGAGTTTCTCAGTGCCAAGAGTGCTTTGCCCTTCCCAGTGGGAGATGCCGTGAAACAGAGGGAAAAACAAAATCTAAATGAGGGCTACAACTTAGCACTCTTTTGCTCTCCCTGGCCATGCCCTGTGCCAAGGTCCTCTTCAAGAAAGGGTCAGCAAAGAGGATATGATGCAGAATGAAATCTGTCAGAGGAAATGGAAAGAAAAGTAGGGCAGGAGGTGAGCAAGAGAGGAGTGGATTACAGAAAGGTTGCACATATGTACAACCAGCATACAGGGCACGGGAAGGGAGAACTTTGGGGGCCAGGATTGTGTGGGAGCAGAGAGAGGAGAAGGAGTATGCTGACAAATCTGGTCTGGCTCAGAGGACAAGAAGTGCTTCTGAGGAAAACAGTGCATGTGAAGGTACAAATTCTGACACAGGCTAAAAGACAGGCCAGAAGATACGATCCAGAAGTGCAGAATCAGCCCTCTCTTGAAAAAAAGAAAATTAATCACAGGAGGAAAAGTAACACAGCAGTGTCATAAAATCTTTGACTCTTCTCATCGTGCCTTGTTTGTCTGGTTTACATTTTGTTAAATGAGTCTTAATTTCTTTTTTTACTTCACATTTTTTTCATCAGCCTCCAGGGAGGGAAAGGCTGGGAATCCAATCAGCTGGAGAACTCAGCTGTCTGTCATCTGCTGTGACACCCTAAAGAGCTGGCAGGGTAGCAGTGAGTGATACCTTCTTGGGTTTGCCAGAAGAGCACACCTAATGATCCACTGAGAGCTGTGTTTGGGCAAACATGCACACCAAAAGGTAGAGAAACTTTATCTGGGACTCCTATAGAGCTGGACAGATGCTGCATGTGGCAAATTTTCTCTACTCTCCTGTGCCTGTCTCTCTTTCTAGAGAGCTTTGCCCCGGAAGTCTTGTTCCACTAGGCTCTGCTCACACATGCACGCCCTGGCAGCTTATAAATCTAGTCTAGTGTTATTAAGACAACAACTGTTTCTTGGATTTTGTACAGAGTGGCAGAAAAACGTGTATGAATCAAATCCTCTGCTTCACTGCCAAAGTGAAGGGGAACAAAGTAAGTTGCAAGTGCAGCAAAGAAGAGATTTTGTTCCTATCAGATTTTTCTTACTGTTCTCACTGAGGGTGATTTATGCAGGAACTTAATTAGCTCATAGGATCATAAATATAATCATAAAGCTGGTCTTGGGTTTTGTGGGAAGTTCCTTTGCCCTTTAGCACTTCCCTGTGTCTTGTTCTAACTGTGACATGTTGCGTTTAATAAGGTCTTGCTGATTCAGATCACCACTTCAACACGAACCTCTTTACTAATTAAGACCTGAAGGGGCAAGGAGTGAAGGCAGTCCAAGGGCTGTATAAAAATCAGGCAAATACATTCAGGTTGATGAACAGTTAAGACCCTAAGAATTAATGCTTGTTTTGACTGAAAGACAATATTAGGACTGTCAGCAGGCTGTTAGTAGCACCTGATGTGCTCTTAATTTTTAGTCTTGCCTAGTCCACATATTACAAACTTCATATAAACTGAAGATGGAATGAACTTGGAAGCGTTTTTCAGTTTCAACACTTCCTGAGCTGTGAGGTGCACTTCTTTGGAAAGCAGTAAAAAATGGTGGGGACTGTGTGCATGTGGGAGGAGAGACCCAGAGCATGCGAGGAAGAATGAGTGCAATTTGCAAACCCCAGGCTGCTCTAAAGGAGAGACGGGCATACACTTGGCAACATTTAGCTGGCAAGGAGCACTTAGAACAAAACAGTCTGGGACACGCTGGTGAACTTTCTCTTCAGCTAGCAGAGTATTTCACAGATGAGGCTCTGGATCACAAACACTCTTTGATTTGGGGTTGTCCACTAGTGAACTCTAACAAACGGTATTCCTTCTCAAACACGCTATTCTTTCCTTTTCTCTTCCTCTGCAACTGAGACAGAGGTAGCTAACATGAAATAATTTACTGAATTCACCTACAGATTCTGAATTTTAATGGTTCAGACATTAGCCCTGATCCAAATAACCCAAAAGCTTTGACTCAGGAAAACAAATCTAAATGAGAGCTACCACAAAGCAAGCCACACACATTCCTTACTTTGCTCATCCTCATTACATGACTAGTAATTCCATAATGGTATGAAATCATTCGCCTAATGGCTGGGCCCATCAGACCAATTGTAAGTGTCAACATCTAAAACAATTAACAAAGTCTTCTGAAAGCACGAATAATTCCGAAGCCACAACCAGAAAGTTGCATTACCTACATTTACAATGGATGACACTGCCCCTGGAAAATTTCTGGAGGGGGAACATGTGATTTAAAAGCAGATTTATCATTTTTCCACTTTTTTGTCCTCAAGACACAAAATTCCTCCCACGCCCTGCTCAAGCATATCCACTTTTGGCCAGTGGTCCTCACCTGGAAACGGGAGTCACGTAGTTGCCTGGGAAGACTCCGGACATCCCACTTCTCAGAGACGTGCCCTTGAACCAGCCATCTTGACACTTCTCAATGACCCGGTACATCTCACCTTTGCGGAGCTCCAGCTCATCATTTTTCTGAGGCTTGTAGGCGTACAGAGCTAGGTAGCTGCGGGGAGAGGTTACACACAAAAGGAAGCACTGTCAAACGAGGACTGTCCTGTTTCGATCACAGCCTCACAGAGCAGCAGTAAGTGCCATGGTGCACACACTGCTCAGAAACAGTGATTAAGAGGGGACATAATTACAGTACACAGAATGAGAAACGGCATAGAACAGATCAATCAAATGCTAGGATGATAAGGGGACATCTAATGAGATTAAAGAGAAGGGGTAATTTAGATATTAACAGGAGGACACACTTCTGCACACAGTGCACAATCAGTCAGAGGAAAACACTTCTACAAAACAGCACGGAAGTTAAGAACTTAACAGCAATTTCAGAAGGACTAAGCTTTTACACAGATAGCAACAATATCCATGATTCTAATAGCAGGGATTTCCAAAGTCTAACATCCGGATGAAGTATATATTCATACGGTTCAGCGTGTAAGCCACCTCTAATGTGGATTGTGAGAAGAAACTTTTCTTCTGGATAATCTATTTTAAAAATATTTAAGACAGCTTTTCCTGCAGCTTTCTCTATGCTTTTTATGCTGGCTAGTGCTAGAAACACCACACTGAACTGCTCTGATCCAGTACAGTAATTCTTACACTATGTGGGTAAAAGAAAAATTGAGGGAGGGCCAAATTCTGCAATAGGATTTTTGCTGAAGTAAGTGGTAGAATTTGGCCTTAGATGTTTTGCATGCAAGTATATTCAGAAATATTTGATCTTGGACCCCATATGTAGAACTTTTTATTTATTTAATTATAGTTTTATTTATTCTCTTTGTTTAGAATCTTTCTCTCTCTTCTGTTCTTCTGTCATTACTTCACGGAAGTGTCCAATGTTATGAAACGACTACAACTTAAAGTCTCCAAAGGTAGTCTCTCTGTTTGGAGAGATCCTTGCTGAGAATTAAGAATGACTGCTTGCACTTCGGGGAACTGCAGAAAGTCTGGATAGGATAGCAAGAATGCACACAGAAAATAACACTTTCTTTGTAAATATCAATTTTTGATGCTGTCACCTTTCTACAAATCCAAAAGGGATTTCTGGTAATTCTTGATCAAGCTTATGTCTCCTTGAGCTCTTTTTTGCTTTGTTTCTTAGAGGCAGTGCAGAGAGAATAGGACAAATGGGGAAACACTTATAAAAACTGCATTTACACTACAAAGTGCAACAGAATGCTTTTAGGCTAGGTGGTGGGTAAGAAGATGCTTGCTGCCCACCTCAGTGAACCAGAGAAATAATGAAAACGATAACCATTGTGATTGTAGACTTGCAGCCAATAAAAATGATACATGGCTTTTTACTTCTGCTCTCTAGGAAATATAATTGAGAAATAAATCCTGTTAGTTTTACTGATTCTACTTCTTTATGGTACCAGTAGATTTCTTCATTTTTATTCTGAAGGCAGTAAATAAACAGCAGTAATGAGAAGAATATGAAATATTTGGTAACAGTTCCTTAGGGCATCCTTAGGTTGATGTGCTTGGCTCTATTTACCATGTGCATAGGATACAAAGATCTAATCAGAAACTGTATTTCATTAGTCAACAGATGGGAGAAACCATCCTGCACATCCTTTGTTTAGTCTGTATAATCAGGCAGCCCCGATCAGGTCTGTTGCTGGTCACCTGATAGAAAACATGAGGCTACATATGAACTGAAGAACATTAAAATGCCTCTCCCTGACATGAAATAAGGTTACATGCTTCAGTGGTAATTCTTCTGCACAGTACTCTGCTAGGACACAATAGAAAGTGCCAGGACTGCGCTCACTTGAGGAAGCAAAAATATGGCTTTGACTATCCATTTTAAAGTCACTGCTTACACAGCTGTCAAATTCAGAAGCTAGGGGTAAAGCAATGGTCGCTAACAGCATTTTAGAGAGATAAACTCACTTAGTCCTTTTCCCAAAGGGCTATATGTAATGATGTAATTTACAGGTTGAGATGCTGGAAGAAGGTGTAAGGAAAACTAGCCTGAGATAAGTGGATTGTAGGCTGCTTTCCCTTGCAGCTATCACCAGCTCTCCTGTTAGTTTCTCTGTGTTCTTCTGTGGAAATTCCTCAGACTTAAGCTCCAGGAAGTCTGAATTAACCAATAATCAAAATGAGCCTAAACATACCCAAGAGAGAGTACCAAAATCCTTGCAAAGATTAAAAGAAGACGTACAATACTCCAGCCTGGACTCCATGCCAAAACTGACCAATCTCAATACTGCCAAGCTCATAACTATATGTGGTAACTGCATGGCATGACTCTGGGACAACAGATGTGATGATCAGTGCTTTCTTAATGGACTGGCGATCACACCACCTATGTAGGGAAGGCAGGATGCTGGTCCCTGGGGGTTTCCTCTGTAGTCAGCAAAGAGACAGAGGCTTCTCCAAACCCAGGCACTGGCCTAACCTAGGTTTGAAGGGCTTATAATCTTTAAGGCAGCAGCACACCAGCATGGCTGCGTTGCTCCCGGTTCTCCATCACAGCTGGGAACCGTATAGCTGCTTCTGCGGCCTGAGCTAATAACCCTGCAATCTCAACCTGTGCTGAGCAGCTTGCTGCATGCTCTCTGAACACACTTCAGGGATGCCTGCGAGATCCATACGGAGCTAACAAGGGCCTAGGAAAGCGTATTAACTTTGACTCAGTGTTGGTTCTGCTAGACCTGGTCTGGTTCAACCCAGAACCACTTGGAGAACTCTGCCACCAGCCCTCAGAGCTGTGTGAAGGCCTGATAACCTGAGCCCAAGGCATGCTGATGCATGGGGATGTCCAGTCTTGTGCTGCACCCAAATCCATGCCGCCTTCCCAGAGCTGTAGCACTGGGGAACGTGCTGAGAGGCAGCCATGTCAGCTCTCCTGGAGCCTGTAAGACCTGCTTTACTTGGGCAAAAATCTTCTCTTCCATTATCTTTAATTCTTCCAGGCAGAAATACCGCCAGGAGTATCTCAGCACTTACAAAATGGAAATGCCTGACCCTGAATCTCACCTACACACATAGGCAAAACTCTGTCCATTATGGACAACAGATTGTGACAAGCAGCACATTGACTCTGCTGGGTTCTCACCATGTTTGCTGGACATGGCAGCTATGTCCACCCCATCGGGACAGGCATACGCTGAATGTGTTGGCGGGGAGAGGACCATGGAGAGAGATGGGTTGGACACCTGCTGTCAGACACAGCTGAAAACAATTTGACTACAGACAGCTTCACTCACTAGCAATTGTTTTTGGGCTCTACCTCTGGCAGAAAATCTCAGTTAAAAGCTCAGCTTGCAGAGGCTGGCTTTGCTTTAAGCCAAAGCCTTTGGACTTGGCCCTGTTTCACTCTTCTCTGGATTTAAGATGTAAAACTTCACTCACAAACTTTCTGCAGCTGAGATGAAAGTGGTATAACAACAACAATTGAAATCTCACAAAATGGAGTAACAAGTTATTCTGGGCTGTGTAAAACAGTGAGACTAACGGCTGGGGAGTAAGACCTAGACAAAGCCAAAATCTTTATACAAAGTTCCCTAAAAAAATTTCTAACTTAGAAGGTAGCTCATGTTCTTGGCCTAAGGGAGCTGTCTGTGACTCTAATTATAACATAGAATTCCCAGGGCTCTATTTAAGGCTGTTCCTCTCTTGTTCTGTTACAGCTTTGAGATAACACTTCCTTTTCGACTGGAACTTGGCTTGTAAATATAAAATGACAGACCGGATTATGAGGCTGCTTCTCGGGGGATATGACAGGAGAGGAATGGGAAAGAGAAGGGGATGGCTTCCTGAGGGACGGAGGCAGGAGCATGTTCTATTTTCATAGAGCTGGAAGATATCCTGGTTTAGCAACTAAATTTTGTAAGTACTGCAATTAGTGCTTCCTAATGTGAACAACATTTAAAACAAATTTTTGCCCTGCTATATTTCACACAGGCTCCGTTAGATGACTGCAGGGTGATGTTGTGACCTCTATGTGGGGCAGAGTGATGTGTGGTACCCTTTGAGCAGGAAGACCTCACTTAAGAACAATTTAACAAGACCAAGACATAAAAGAAGAATAAACTAAGAAGATCATACCTAAGAACAATTTTGTCTGGGTTCTTTTCCAAATTCCCTACTTCTCTTAAAGCAGATTTGCTACGCTATTCTAGGGTTTTATTTGTGCACTCAGGCATTATTTTCCCTATAGCATAAAACCCTAAAATACTTGTGTGCATGCTGTGTGTCTGTGTATTTCTACTGCTTTCACAAGACATATGTGATCAGAGGAAAGGGTTCAGTAGTTTAAGTAGACAGGTACCAAATAAGCCAACAGGGCTGTAAGAGATTTATTATAACGAAGTCTATCACTTTTATTCTGTATCCAATCAACCTTTTGTTCTTCCAAATGCTATTTAAAAAGCTCTTATGCATTTAATCTTATGCATTTTCACCTTGCATTTGAAAAGTTTATTTGATGTCTTTGTTTATGGTGCCGAAAAAATGTAATTGGGTCATTTTTTCTGGTTAATGATGAATGCATCAGGTGTTTGATTGTATGGGGCTACACCTTTACAAGAGCTTTAATCCAAGGAATAAGATTTCCTCTAGCTCAGAGACATTCCATTTGCTTCACAGTGATTCATACAGCTGTAATAAACATACCAAGAGCAGAAAAAGGCTCACATAGAAAGGAAGGGCTCTCGCTTTTCACCGTTCATTTTCTGATTGCATCAGAGGCTGGGTCATGCATAAAACTGCAGTAACTCTGCTCTCAGAATGCTGCTGGTCTGAGATCTAGGCTTTGAGATTTAAAGTATAAACACACATGCACACATGATTTGAAACAAACAGTAACCAGTGACTGAGAGGAGCTGGCTGCTTACATATTGAGGGGGAGCTGGACCTTCGGTGGTGTTCCCTGATCTCCAATTATTGCACTTGTCCTGGGACCAGCCACCGTGGCTGTTCCAGCCGAAGAGGAATCCTGAAAAAACACAAATAAGAACATACAAGGATTAAGGTGAAGCCCATCGCTTCCTAAAATGGTGTGGGGAGAAGGCACAGAGGAAGAAATCACCCCCTGTGTCAAATCCCAGACGTCTTACCTTCACGATACTGCATAAAAAAGACATCTTTTAGCCGTTGCCATTCCAGAAATACATTTCTGACACAAGGGATATTAGCTTATTAACAGCATTTCCATGCACACGTCAGAGAAATTTAGCTGTACCTTGCACGCAAACCTTAAAACATTGAAAAAGCAAACCCAACTGGCTGCTTTGTAAAATGAGCTCAGAATGTTTATCTCTGCAATGGCACCTTCTTTGATAAAGGTAACCTTTTGCCTCGGTAGCTTGTTTTTTAATTCTTACTTCCTTGGTTAATGACTTATGGATCTACAGAGAACACACTATTCAGTTTCCAAAATGTGATCTCATCTCAGTATACTGTTTTATCCTCAGGAATATTCTTCTCCTTAAGAAAAAGAGGTAAGTGACAACACAACCCAAACCAGGAATACCTCCGAATGGACAGAGTAGGAGTCTGCTCCACTTTTACTTTACTTTCTCTCATATGAAGATGTGTGCAAATATATTTTCCAGCTATTACTATTGAAAGACATTTCTAAATGTAATCCTTCTGTTTTTCAAAGCTTGTTGCTGAGCAAAAGTATGTAGGGCAAAGTCTTGTGAGCTGTCGCAACAAAGTCCCAATTCATCTATGTTAAAAATGAATCCTGATTGTAAACCTCTCCTGGAGCAATGACAAGGGCAGTAGCAACAAATCTTTGCTGCAAAGGCAAGGCAGAACTGGGCAAATGGGACTTGTAATGGTTTACTTGAGCAAAAGGTCCAGCCAAATGCTGCAAGCAGTAAAATCTGGAGTATATGTAGAAATTGCAAATTCAGACAGAGCCTGTTATATTCCACAAAGATTCTGTGTCATTCACAGACCTTCAGTGCAGCTTTTCTATTTCCAAGTGCCATCTAATAAACTGTAAATATTGATATATTTTGGGAATAGAGACATGGGGACTTTTTTTTGCACTTAAAATTGACACTGAATTAAACCAAGACACACAGTGCTATTTAATTAACAGATTTCAATGTCACCTCTTTGCAAAGAAGCCCACATAATTATTACAGTGTCATGTCTCAATATTGTGTTGCCAATCTATATTGCTTTGCTATATATTAACATATCATCATTATGAAACTATGCAGCAAGATATGAAGACACTGCTCTGTGATTCCATAGCTTTCGGCGACAAGCAGCAAGCTGTCTCCTCTCTCACCAGCAACCACTCTCAATCACGAAGCTGTAGTGACAAGTACATCTCCTTTTTCTCATTATTTCTCCTCACTTTCTGGCTGCTTGCTCAAACAGGGAAGGTTCCAGGCAGTTCTTAGTCCTATGTGCAAAAGCAAGGGTTCTTTCCAGTTCTGTGACTAAAGCTCTATTAATCCTGCCTGTCACGTCAGTGACGTAATATCAATTCACAGAAAAGAAAAATGTAGGGATAGCTGGACAATGATCCTTCATTTGTTATTTGGAGCTGGTTATTGGGGTTAGGGGTTGTGGAAGACGCTGGGCAGAGAGGCCTGGCAAATGCCTCACCCAAGAGGTAAGTGAAAAATCAGTGGTTCAGATTTCCTCCTGTTGTGCCACCAGTGTACCTCTTCTCTGCGCTAGAGAAACTGCCTCCAAGAAAAAAAAAAAAAACAGATCAGTCTCCACCCTTTTCTGGTAAGACAGACCACTTTGTTTTTCCTTCAAGGAAAAAACAGAGCTGAGCAGACAACCACAGGGTGCAACCAGATAAACAGAGAAAATCACAACAGTGTAACGCACATACTGTTACTCCTTCCGTAGTTTATGCTTCTCTCTCTATACATCTCGGTGAAGGCAGAATTTGGCATCTATCCCACCCAAGACTGCATGCCGCAGGCAACCTGGGCTAAGCCAGCCTGTCTCTACAGAGCAGCATCCAGCTCTACAGAGAGACCAGCTCAAGCCCCGAAAGCAGCGTAGCTGCATCACAGCCATCCACTCACTAGTCTGCACTGGAAGTGGTGGCTTCTGTGTCCTGTGTAATTCTGCAAGCGTGAGCCCGAATACTTGCTGTTGGTTATTACTCTTGTGCTAACATACTGTCCTAAGGATTAGGACATCACATAATTGTCATTTAGTGCTGCTTGATGGCAGTGTTGCCTTCTTCCCTTGACATTCAGTTTCTTGCTCATTGTGTGTTACTGTACTATTGGTGTATCTGGTGCTAGCCTGGCCCCTACAAACCATTCATTTTTGCCACTTTATGCAGCCTAAAGTCATATGCTCCCAAATTCTAAGTCAGTGCTTGCTTCCCCGTTTTGCTCCAGTTTTTCTTTAGCTGTGCTCTGCAGGCTTTGACACGGTGGTAGGTTTGCCAGTCTCAACCTATAACCCTGCATTTCATCATGTAGTTTTAGTCCACAGGACCTACTGGCTTTCTGAATTCAGCTCCTCTGTTTGCATCTCGGCGTTTACTTGCGCATAGGTATTCTTCTTTGCAGTTTCACGTGCCTCTGTGCTCCCTGATGAATGCTCTCAGTGGCTGCCTGATTGCTACTATGCATTCACTGGCTTTGCATTTAAACTGCAGTTCCTGATACAGGTGATGGAGGTTTTCTAAGCCTCCTCATTCAAGGTCATGTTCTGTCTCTCATGTCTCACTAAGTATAATGCTGTTATTGGAAGATACAATATTTCTAAATTATTTTGCAATATAATAATTGCAAGAAGATTTTGCAGAGACTGAATTTTGGTGAGAGAAAATTTCTTCTTCTCTTATTTCTTCATATTCTTGATTACCTTTGTTGGAAGTTTGCCTTTCCTCTCAAAATGTTTTTGAAACATCTCTACAATTTTATGTGGGTTTCTCCAGCTACCAGTAACACTAATAATCCTCCTGGAGCATGCTGCAGGCCTTTCTCCATCAAAACTAGTGGCAGGACTTAGTTTGTTTTCCTTTGTCTTTTTAGCCCTGCAGCCAGGTTATACTTTTGCTATTGTGATCTAAGGAACAAGGTACTAAAAATGTCGTCCTTTCTTCTGCATCTGCTCAGGGGAATGGGAATCTGAGTGAATGCCCTGATTTTTTTTGTTCTTTGTTTTGATAGCTTTTGGGAGATCTGTGCACCACATCCTTGCGTTCTGATTTCATGTCCCTGCGCAAGCTGCCTGACCGTGGCACCACGGCACACGAATACAGCCACACGCCCACACGCGGGCATTACACGGGGAGGGCCCAAACGCTGCAGCACTTGGATGTTAATCGTTCTTCCCCACCTCTGCTAGTCACAGTCACTAAGCACTCCCTGGGAAGAGACCTCTCTTGACAGCCAGGTTTTTAAAAGGCCATAGGGGCACTTACTGATAAAAACAGGCACCTTGTAGAGTTTTCTCAGGGAGGCAGTAAGAGGTACTTCAGTGCCTGATTCCCATTGATTTTATTGCAATCTAAGCAGGAAGAGTCACTTCTGAAAATGCCATTTGGTGCCTCTCTGTATCCTTATTAACCTTTAATACCTTTAAACATTTAGCCATTGAGTTTCCAGACATGACCTGCTGTGTAATCAGACTGTAGCACACCTCCTGATTAGGAGGCCATTAACTGTAATAGTGGTGTGTAGTTTTCTGAACTAGACTCTACCAGCTCTCATCCCATGTATTTAGGCCACTAAATGGCCACATCTGACTTTTGTCATGTCCCCACTTCAGTCTGGCAGCCTCTGAGTACCACTTACCAGTACTGATGTTTTCAGCTCAGTAGCAATGGTTCTTTCCTTCTAAAGGACAATTCAGCCCCGGCTGCCAAGCAGCACAGAAAAGCAACTGCACAAAAGCACATTGAAGACCACCTCTGGATCTCTTTGGGCTAATTTCTGTTTCTCCATGCCCATTAGTAGCACCATCATATCATTGCGTAAGGCTAAATCTTGAGTAAAAACTCCAGGACTCTACACACAGGCACAAGATGCTGCTGACAGTCTTCTCAGTCCCAGCCCAGGCTCTAGCACTTGTTTTTAGCTATTCTGGTGTAGCTGGGCTACATAATAATATAAAAGGATTTCTTGTCTGTAAACAAGACTCCTCATTATGATGACTGCTGAGACAAAACCCCCCCAAAACATTTAAGCTAATGCCTCACAGCAATTCCTGCCTCAAGGCCTCCTTAAAAATTTTCTGTCCTGAACAGAGAGCTTCCTTCTCCCCACAGTTTCTGTGCTGGCAGCTGCAGTGAGACTTTATGCGAGGGCCAAGAAGGAGAAAAGGCTCTGCACAAAGGTACGCCGCAGTTTGGCTAAGCTTGATCTAGTCCTAACGCCAGTGTGGTCCTCTGGAGCATAAAGGAAGTGGAGTGCAGTGTCTCTGCTCTCTGTCCCCACACAACATTTCCAATGCAAATTGTAGATATTTGAATAAGTAGTGGTCCTAGGCATTGCTCGGGGTCACGTATGAAAGGAAGGCTTCAAAAGATGGACGTCCACAGCTAGCTGACAAAACTGAATCTTCCAGATGACTGTCCAGCCTGAGGGTCAGCACTTCCTGGTGAGAATGAATAATTTGACTTCCTCAGAAGTCACTGGAAGTTGTCTAAGCTCAAGTGTATCTCATTCCTCCTCCAGCTGATAAGTATTATTTACAAGAGAACTACGGGAGCATCAAAACAAACTGTACTTTCATGTATATGTAATGATAGATTTCTATTACAGTTTATGGCATATACTCTTGAGTAAATAATACACTGCTGAGATGTTGCTGCCTCTTGTGTCAGCTCTGACATATATTTAAAAGCAACCAGCCTCGCAAAATGTTACCGACAAGCCCACAGAGGCCAGGAAATTAAGGGTAATAACCACCCATCTAGGCTGAAACTTCATCTCAAATTCATTCTCTGATGCTTTCTCTCCTCCCATCCACACCTTTGTAAAAACATGAGAA